AATAAAACGCTTAAATTGCTCATTCCTAAAATAACAGCTCACATTGAAACTGTCATCTTACCGACAGATATCCAGCTGTGTCATCCGTAGCTACACTTGAGATGTCATCCTCTTCGTCCATCAGCACTTTAGGTTGATACGAAGGAAAGAACGTGGAATTACGAAAACCAAGAGTTTGGTAGTAATGGGACGACCTTTTGCTCTGAAAGATTTCAAAACATTGCTTAAAAAATATAACTTTTCGCACTGGATAAGAAAATCTTTCAAGCACTCAAAACGGCACTTCTCTATCGATGAAAATGTTAAACCAGCAAACGCCTAAGCCAGAGCCTCATATATTGTCTATATTGCCAGATTTTCTGGCCACAAAATTAAAACTATCTACGCTAACCGCTTGTGGTTCATTGAGTAATCACCGGGGCTGTGCTCTAGAAGCGCCTGGTGCCACAGGCGGCAAACTTTTGCCTTTGGGCGACTGGAAAAACTCACTTTTTTTCATATAAGCTTCAATGCTGGGCACCCAGGATTCGGGCTCCTCGTAATTTTCTTAGACCACAGCCTTGGTAATCACAGAAAACAATTCTTCCGTCTTCTCCAACCCTCTGGTCCAGCTCATCTTCAGTGTATCCCACAACCTCCCTATCAAAACCCATTTTTCACACTCACCCTGTTTCCTGGTCGAGGTAGATTAGGCATACGTCCCGGAACAGGTAATCCTGCTCTCGCTAATTTGATGAAGTATTTCTGGACACGACTGGCAACCTTGAGGAACAAGAAGCATTCTTAAACAAACGTGAACGAGGTTATACAAATACACGAGAGTCAAATAGCCACCGACATAGAAAACAGTGTGTCAATCTAAATTGTTGGAGATTAAGGTAGTAATGTATTATTTTATATATTATATAAGAACCTTAAGCAAACCACGACGACGAAGGCAAGGAGAAAGTCACCAAACAAAAGTTTTAATGAGCAAAACAATGGCTGTGCACGTGCGTTACAAGTCTTTGTACATTTCTTTGCCGTCCTCTGCAAACCAACAACGTGAAAAGACCAAGTTCTGCGCAGTTTGAGGAATGCAAACAACGACGAGTAATCTTTGGTTTCCGTGTGGAATTGAACGCTGTCATTGCATATTTAGCCTGAGCACGATTTTAGAGCCATTGGCGTACTGAAAAGATCTAGACAATTGCGAATTTTGCTGGTGAAATATAAACTCATTTTTGACTAGGCATTGTCCTCGGCGTCGTCGTTGCTTAAGCTCCCTGTCAAGGTTTGTTGTTCGCCCTTGTCCTCCTTCCCTCTCATTCGCTGAGATCTANCATCACAGTGACGACCTCGCACCAGTTTTCCATTTGTAAACTCGCTATTTCTTGGAGTGAAAACACTCGTCAGACTGAGGAGCAAACAACAACATTATGCTGGATAAGAAGTGAGTTTCTGGACAGTTTTATTTTGGACAAAACGTCCCATGCTAAGTTGTAGGTTAAAAATGGCAAATGGCTAAGCAACACACCTGTCGAACCTTGCAAAAACAGTTTGAACATTTTGTACTTAATTTCTTATTTCATTTGTTTCATATTGGGATTGGGCCAATAAATTCATAATCATTACCTAGCATCATAGGTCTGCACCGCGTGCAAAGTGGTCAGTAGATAATATATACATGTACTCCCTTTCACTCTCAGCCACAAATTCCCAACAACAGTTATAACAGTTCACTTATAACTACAGGTTAATTATTAAAACCATACAACATACAGCAAGACATGAACATGATACCAACCTTTCCCTCTCCAGTGGCTTGCCTTGTTTGCTGGCTACAAACTCTCCCCCAAAGACACTATACACGTTGCTCTCTGAAGAAGCAGCAGATGCAAATTCACCGGTGTCAGAAGTTTGTATTGATGGCTCATTTGCTAAAGAAAAAATTACAAATCAGATCAGACAGTCTAATTCAATATTCTCATAAAGTTAAAAAAGAGACTTAGGATATTGACATTGTTAATGCCAGAGATGCATTCACATCAATCAGACATTATTTGCATACAAACAAATATACAAATATCAGAATTTTTTGAAAAGCGAAAAATTTATGACAGGTAAGATTTAAAGATTTACATGTAAAGCTGGCCCAACCCCCCCACTTGCGGACAAAGAACTGGATAATAATAAGATTTAAAGGTTTGTCATGTAGTATTAACGGGTAGTACGTCCATAGACATTCGTACAGGATGTTGAAGGAAAAGTTTGTGTTCAAGCACAGTGGCCCATCAGTCCTTATCTCTGGTCTCAGTACCTGCAGTATGAAGCAGCTTATTGCTAGGAGTATTTCTACTCCCCCCTGGATGGGATGCTGGTTCATCACAGGGTTACTCCCACGCATTAAATTTGCCGTTACCCATTTGTACATAGTGGAGAGAGGCACTGTGAAAGTAAAGTGTCTTGCCCAAGAATACCACACAATGTCCCCCAGCCAGGGCTCAAAACCAGACCACTCAATCCAGAGTCCAGCGTACTAACCATTAAGTTACCACACCTCCTTTCTTTGAACATCTGCAAGTTCATTATGTTACATGTACATGTATTATACAGTTATCTATCCTTCTCCACACATCACAGCACCCTGATACTAGGATAAAGTGTTGCCATCATAACAATATTTTTTAATACCTTTTCCCAGGTTGTTAGAGGCAGCTCTAGTGAGGTGGGGATTGCTCAATCTCTCTCTATCTATTGTACTCAGAGATACTGTATACTCTTCCCAAGGAATAGACGGAAGCTTAACTACCTTTTGACGAGATGGAAGATCTATATGTTCCTAGATGTAAAACAAAATGACAAGGCATCAGATTCCATGTAGCAAACCTTAAGCAGCCATATTTCTCAAAATTCAACAACTCGTGGTCAGCCCATTATAAAGATGTAACTGAGCAATTGTCATCACACAATGTGATATAAAATCAAGTTAAACATTTAAAACTGTGTTTACAACTTTCCCACTAAAGAATCTATAACCAAAACATAATTGTCAGTGCAAACTGCACATGTATCCTCAGGTTCCCAAATGTACCATTGATTTACCGGAACAGTAAACATAGGTCAAAACCATTTTTTTTAATCAGAAAACTTGCAACATCACATTCTACCCTGTTTTGTAGCTTCTCCACAAAACTAATAGGATCCTGAAGAGCTTTAGCTTGCTGTTGATAGAGAACGTCAAGGTCCTTTGAAATAAACCAAACACAAAAAGTTACGAATAAGCATGAGTATTGGTGTTACTAAAATATAGCCTGAGAAAGCCACTTTTACACATGCCTAGAAATAAGTTTTTATTAGTGATCTCAAAGGTTCTCATGTGAGGCACAGGGATGAGCTGTGTAAGACACGGCACTTTTATCACAGTGACTGCAAAATTCATCACAAATTTTTATTTAGAGGAACTGTGATAATCAGCCAGTTTAATTCATTACCAGGCAAAGCAACAATGTTAGCACTATACGTCATCCCAAACTGAGGCTTGCCNAGGCACTGTGAAAGTAAAGTGTCTTGCCCAAGAATACCACACAATGTCCCCCAGCCAGGGCTCAAAACCAGACCACTCAATCCAGAGTCCAGCGTACTAACCATTAAGTTACCACACCTCCTTTCTTTGAACATCTGCAAGCTCATTATGTTACATGTACATGTATTATACAGTTATCTATCCTTCTCCACACATTACAGCACCCTGATACTAGGATAAAGTGTTGCCATCATAACACTATTTTTTTAATACCTTTTCCCAGGTTGTTAGAGGCAGCTCTAGTGAGGTGGGGATTGCTCAATCTCTCTCTATCTATTGTACTCAGAGATACTGTATACTCTTCCCAAGGAATAGACGGAAGCTTAACTACCTTTTGACAAGATGGAAGATCTAAATGTTCCTAGATGTAAAACAAAATGACAAGGTATCAGATTCCATGTAGCAAACCTTAAGCAGCCATATTTCTCAAAATTCAACAACTCGTGGCCAGCCCATTGTGAAGATGTAACTGAGCAATTGTCATCACACAATGTGATAGAAAATCAAGTTAAACACTTAAAACTGTGTTTACAGCTTTCCCACTAAAGAATCTATAACCAAAACATAAATGTCAGTGCACACTGCACATGTATCTTCAGGTCCCCAAATGTACCATTGATTTACTGGAACAGTAAACATAGGTCAAAACCTTTTTTTTTTAATCAGAAAACTTGCAACATCACATTCTACCTTGTTTTGTAGCTTCTCCACAAAACTAATAGGATCCTGAAGAGCTTTAGCTTGCTGTTGATAGAGAACGTCAAGGTCCTTTGAAATAAAACAACACAAAAAGTTATGAATAAGCATGAGTAGTGGTGTTACTAAAATATAGCCTGAGAAAACCACTTTTACACATGTCTAGTAATAAGTTTTTATTAGTGATCTCGAAGGTTCTCATGTAAGGCACAGGGATGAATTGTGTAAGACGTGGCACTTTTATCACAGTGACTGCAAAATTCATCGCAAATTTTTATTTAGAGGAACTGTGATAATCAGCCAGTTTAATTTGTTACCAGGCAAAGTAACAACGTTAGCACTATACGTCATCCCAGACTGAGGCTCGCCAAGGCACCTCTAGGATGTGTCATTATAATAGTATGGATAATCAAATGGTGACAAGTGAAGTAAGGAAATAATTTTATGCACGTTTTGTCAAAGTTCTTACTAATAATTTCCTGAGCCTTTAGGCAAGGTAAATTATTTACATTTTGACAACTTGCAGTGAAGTCATTTTTTAAATTTCATGAGTATACTATTTGATAACCTTTTAATGTCATGAGTTGCAAATTACTTGCAATCATGGTTTTGACTTGTCTACTGTTTTGAATTTTGCACCAAATATTGTCATGACAATTTTGTAATTTCACATGTGAAATTATAAATAATTATTAACGCTGAAATTGTACACCAAAATGAAGGAGTAAAGAGTCACCACGATATTATTACAATAACATTGTATCGCTTGTCACTGTAATTTTGTCTTTAAGTGGGAATTTTTCAACAACCAGAGCTTGATGTTTGTTTCCCTTCGTCTCAAATGTTACTTTTTCATGATCCAAAACAAAGGAAATCACATTAACAAGAAACATTTTAACCAGCAACCTACATCTGTACCAACCAGCTGCTGTGATGGGACCAAGAATTTTATTTACAACTCAAGAACGATTATATTTTGCGCTATGTTTTACTACATATAAAAAATTACACTCTCCGCTCACCTTTACAGCCTGACTCCTCTGTGATTCCAAAACCAACAGGGTTTGCAGTAGCAAATGGTAGCTAGAACGATAACAAAACAGTAGTCTTCTAAGCAATGTCTCCTCCTACATCAATGGAGGCTGCCCTTTTGTGTAACTTACATTACAGTTTATGATACCATGATACAAACTACTATTGCACTTACACTTAAGAAATATCAGAAAATATCTTGAATTCACTGTCTTTTGGAGAGTTATATCTATCATGGAACTGTGAGTGGGTGTTTAGTAAAAATGAAAGATATTTCTAAGACTTAAGCCAAAATAGTCCATGCTGACACACTGTACTTAGTGTTAAAATGAAGATGCTGTAGGCATATATGTCTGTAGTACTACTATAAGTCAAGAGTATGTAACTTTACAGCATCAATGTAAGATCACTTTCTCTGCCTTTCTCAGACTAGCAGGGTTATTAGTTGCTAAAGAAACTGTTGTACTGTATTGGCAGGCAAAAAAACACTTAACTAATATTATCAATTACTCGCATGAGCTGATAAAGGTAAATTAACTACTGTCGCAAATTTGAATATTTCGCAGAATAGATTTACCTTTATCAATGCATGCATGGTTGACAATTAACTGTTTAGTCAGAGTAACACCCATCTCTACAACATCACTTACTGTTTATTATCTTTCAGTGCCAAGTGATCAGATTCAAAGTAGAACCGATCGTAATGATCATCCTCAGCTTCATCATGGACGAGTACCTGATCATACCACATGTTGACACCTTTGGCAGAAGATTCCTTTTCCAGCCCACTTACTTCCTTGTCTGCCCTTTCCTCAAATGTTTCTGTCCTTGCACTAGAGATCTTGATGCTAATTTGCTGAGAGCCTTGATCATCCAAAGCACTGTTTGATCCCACATCTACATCAGCTTCATCATCTTCCTCAGCTTTGTTTGTAACTGTTCTTATGACACTATCTCGATTCGAATTGTCAGATTTAGTAGGAAACAAGTCTGAAGCTCGATTATACAAGCAGTCATTTGATCCAACATCTAAATCAACTTCAACGTCCTCATCACTTATATTTGTTTCTGTTTTTATCTCAGTTTTCGTTACTCTATCTTTCGTGACTGTTGCTCCAAATGCAGCTGCTGTCGAGCAAAGCTTTAAGGATTGGTTTTCCTTGTCTACAGCTGGACTTGATTCATTTGTTTTCGTGTTTACCTTCATGAGTAACCTCAGTTCCACAAGAAATGAGTTTCAGTATCTCAACTCCTCGCGTAAATAATTAGTTTTCTGTGTAGTACTAACATTACTGTTATAGCCGAACACGTGCTGCAAAACTCACTGTTGTATAAACATTCTATCCACTCGAAGAAGCTTCGTGAACAAACCATGAAAACGCCAGTGTCAACGACGACAGCAATGAGCTTAATTCAAAAGCCTCTCAAATTTCGAGTACTATCTTCTCCATAGACAGGTTTTTATGACCATAGTTTGATTCTTGATCATTTAAAAGTTACATACATACTCTCAGCTACAAAATACACTTCTGCTAGGACAAATCGTCCGCCATCTTTGAACTGCGCCCACTGTAGCCCAGAGGTTTATTCTTTGGGAAACAATAGTGTCATTTAGAACTGATCATAGTGTAGCAAACTTTCTGATTATCCTTTCCAATACTAAAGGCAATGTACTTATATTTGGAAAATAGTCCAAAGAATATACGCTCGCTGATTGGTTAAAAATCATGTGTCTATTCAACAATTTTAGATTATTCGCTCCCACTTTCTATCGCGTGATAGTTCACGAGGGAGC